ATCTCCTCAAATTATATTACATAATTTTAATCTACCTAATATTCGCACTTCATAATTTACAAAGAATTGATTTAATACTTTCCATAACAATCTTCACCTTTTCTAAGTTCTAGGAGATAGCCTAAATGAGCTCCAAGACCACAACAATTACACCAAGATAGTTGTCTATATATCCCCTCCTCCTGCGCAAAGAGATTAATCCTCCCGTAGTTCTTCAAAATAGTTGAATGGGCAATCAATAATGAGCTCAATTGTTCATCAAATTCCTACTACAGTATGCAAACTTCTAAATTGGTATTACTTCTGTGAGTAATTGTATATAGTAGTACTTTTGTAAGCCTTGTGTAGTTCTTCTTTAGAAGTCTCCATCATCACCCATATTTGATATCGTGAGATAAGAAATTTCAGATCAAGCCACAAGCAATTCACTTTAATTTCCAATCAATCTCTTTTTGACATCTTTTTAAGATGTTCATCATTATGAACCTCAAACTTTAAAGAGCATGTCACATCTACCACATTACATTGCCACATGCCAAAGTACTCTTTGTCATCAAATTTCATCGTTTTGATCTTGATGGGATGTGTAACAACTTAAGGAAACAACAACTTTTCCACCGTCATGGTGGTTATTGAAGCACCATACGATATGCTATTACGTACGACTCATTCAGATCTCGTAACCCAACTTGCATTGATTTCTTTGACTTGCGTTCGCAATTTCAAGGAATCCCAGCCGACTCAGAAAAAAAAAAAACCTCTTCAAGGAAGCCCAGTCATCGATCGATGGAATTATCAATTTAAATCTGATGTCAATTATTGTGCAAAACAATTTAGAAAAATTCAGATAACAAACAAACAACCAAACAAATTGCACTTCACGTGATTCGACGCAAATTCGTCAATGTTCACGAGGAGAGTTTATCCTATAACCAACAGGTGGGGAGAATACAAAAAAACAATCAATCATAAAGTTACACTCAAGACACTTTCTCCATAAATCGTCCTTTAATTAAGAAACATTCAAGACATAAAATTAAGAACATTTTAGATATAGGAAATATCAATCTTACTAGTATCATAATTCTAATTTGCAATCATTAGATTTAATACTTTCAATAATAATTTATTTTTTCTAAACGAGTAACTCTTTTATGAACTCAATGAAACTCATCTGAGTAGAAAATAAGTCGCTCAATCATACAACACATTAGTTAATTTGATAAGACTCATCTAACTAGAAAATAGACAGCTCGATGACACTAATTTTAATTTGCTGAACAAAAGCCATTTTAACAAAAATCAATAACTTGATAACAGTACTCTTAGCTCAATAACGACTCGATTATCATCATACTACAATAAACACGAATCAAGCCCAAACAATCAAATAACAAACAAACCGAGCTCAAACACAAACACAAACACTTGATTTACACAGTGCCGCTCGACTCAGCTCAGTTCGTTTGCACCTCTAACTTTATACAATCTGCATTAATGACAAACACTTCATTGATCTTAACAAATATCAAACAATCTTCCACATTTTTACAGTAAAATAAACTAAAAAAGTAAAAACAGTAGAATGACTTCATTATATAAATTAAACATAGAAAAAAGAAAAAAAAACATACAAGAATTTAATTAAAAATATTCCAACAAACACATAACTACTATCATCTAAACAACCAGATTAAACATAAAATCACTCCTTAATTAAGAACTAAACCAAGCTAATTACTCCCGATCAGTGACTGCGACGATATATAGAATATGCAGAGAGCAGGACAAGAAGAAAAAGAAGAGCCGACGCAATGAGAGAAAGTAAGGTGGAGCTCCCAACATGGCGGCAGAACTCATCAAAAATATTACAAATCTTATTCCACAGCACGTGTGAGTTCCCCTTCAATCCAATATATGCAACACTGCCTGCACTTCCTGTAGCTGCTGCCATGATTCCTCCCATTAACTATAAAAATATCATATAATTCAGCCAATATATCAAAAAAAAA